TGGATGCCCTGCTTCTTGAGCCAGGCCGTCATCTCAGCTCCAAGGAACTCACCACCCCGATCTGTCCTAATCCGCTTCACCACACACTCCACTTGCTTCTCCACGAACGGCAGCCAATCGTCCCGAATCGTGGAGGCGGCGTGATCTTTCTGCTTCAGCGGATACGCCCACATTAGCCTGCTCCAGTCATCCACTATGGTTAGGAAGTACCGCTCCCCCTTGTGCCCTTGCACCGGCAGCGGCCCCACCAAGTCCATGTGGACCAGCTCCAACGGCTTTTTGCTCCTGCCAGCCACACTATGGAAGGGGAAACGGGTGAACTTTGAAAGGAGGCAAATTTCACAGTTATCATCGGGTGGTTGTCCGTTCAGCTTCAAGCCTTTAACGGCTCCATCCTTCTCCAGTTGCTTCAGCAAAGGCATTGCCACATGCCCCAAACGTCGGTGTGCCGTTGCCCAATTTGTCTCCCCAGATCTGGCCGACACTTTCACACCAACCCCTCCAACGGCGTTGCACTCCCCCTGGGATGCAGACCCCTCTCCAGCCTGCCCCCCACCGTGCCACGCCAGCGCCGGCAGCTGCCACATAGATCTGTACACGTCCTTGCTCTCGTGCAGATCCCAAAGCACCCGATTGCCCAGCTTCCCTTTATAAGTGCGAGCCCCATCCATGTTGGTGTTCACCCCAGCCTTGCCAAGCTTACGGAGGGAGATAAGGTTGGCCTTCAGGTCGGGGACGAGGAGAACGTCGTGCAGCACCACCGGCTTGCCATCCGCTCCCTTAAACGCAGCTCGTCCCGCACCAGCCACCTTCAACATGTGTCCAGAGGCAGAGCACACCTCATTAATTGGTGCAGCGCGTACGTCGTCCAGCAGGTCCTTGCGCGGCGTCATTGTCCAAGCAGCGCCTGTGTCCAACACCCAATAGTCCAAGGGGTGCAGCTCTGCTCCAACCTTAGCAGATGCGTCTCCTTGCTCCCCCTTGTCTCCCACATGGAAGAATTGGCCCGCGGTGCGCTCCTTCTTCTTCTCCGCACCGCTGTTGCCCTTCGAGTTGTTGTCGGACGAATCAGCGACCATGTTGGCGCCGTTTTTCTGGTTCCTCCGCGCGCCGCCATCCTGGTGACGATTCTGGGGGGTCCATCCATCGGGTTTCTTATAGCACAAAAACCAGGGGTGCCCTTCCTTCTCACAATACCAGCAACTCCCTTTCATTTTGCCACCAGCACCCGACTTGCCCCCACGTCCAGATTTCGCACCGCGACCCCAACCGGTACCTCCTTGTTGGTCGTTGGAGTCGTCGTCTTTCTTTGCACCGCGTCCAGCACCACCGAAGCCACGTCCTTTGCCACGTCGGCTCCCTTGCATCCAGTAGCCGCTGCTGCCGTCGTCTCCACCCCTCAGTTGACGGCGACGGAAGTCCTCCTCTAGAATCTTTGTCCCCACACACTCGAGTTTCCACGAGCTCTGGTTCTGCGGCAGGCTCAATCCGCTCGTGAATTGAAGCCACGATTCCGGCAGCAGCAAGAGCATCTTCAGGCACTTGGTCTGCTCCGGGAAGGTGATTCTCGCGGTCGCCAACTTCGCGTAGAGGTCGCGCAATTTGTCCAGGACAGGTTGCACCGGCTCTCCCTCGCTCAGGCGCAACGCGGACAGCTCCCTCTCCAGCATCAATGTTGCAACAACGGAGGTCGGGGCGTGCTGTTGGTGTAAGGGCCTAATAAACTCAAGCTATTAAGACTTTATCAAACTTAAAACCTCTCCTCGGGGTCACCTCCAAGGGTCCTTGGGTGCCTGGTACAAGACCAGCCCCTATCCTCGGGTCCGAGGTTGTAGAGAGAGGGATCAAGAGGGACTTAGTCAAAACAGCAAGAGTACCTTGAACGTCGCGCAGCGTATCGTGCATACCGTCGATCGGATTAAGCTGAGAATTCACTATATCGAAGCTCTCTCTAAGAGCTTTAAAATAAGCCAAGTTGCCTCGCGAAAAGTTCTGCCATTACGAAGTTATGGCTCGGACAGCGTTAGCCTAGCGTTGGAGTGCTAGCGTACTAGCGTTGACTCGGGTAGCATTCCGCCGTCGCACCGCGTAGAAAGGAAATTCCAGCAAGGAAGGAATTCGCTTGAATCAATTTCACTATATTCAGGTACAAACAGAGAAGGAATAAATAGCTCTAGCTAGCAAGGACCTTGGGAATCAACCTGGGAACAACCAGGGATGATCCCAAATAATTCCAAGCAACAGAACCAACCTGGCTGGACAAAATAGCAGGTGGTAGGTTGGTGAACAACCTCTGGTTCTGTTTTTCCAACCTGGGAAAACAACAACCAGGTTCAGGTCCTAAAAACAGAACCTGTTTTGTCTTTGCCCAACCAGCCAAATGCTGGTTCTGCTGGTTTCCCCTGGCCCTGTAGCATGCAGATACAGACAAACAACATCCAACCTTCACCTAAATTGTACCCCTATTGTGCCTGCCCATAGCGCGTACAATGTTATGCCGAAGCGCACATTGTGCGAGTACCTGCAAATGCTTCAAGCGAAAATTGCGAAATCAAACAAACACACGAACATACCATTCACGCGCAAATGCATTCGCACACGCATACTCGTACAAACAGACGGCAGGATGTCGTGCAATGTGAATTTGCACCCAACACACTCCCCCTCAGCCTACTGGCTGCATCCGCATCATTCCATACTAGTTCATGCTCATTCCACTTATGCGCACACAACGCCAATGAGGCTCATCCGCAAGCCTCTTGGTGAGGAAGTCTGCTGGCTGCTGGTGAGTCTTGATGTAGATCGGATTCACCGTCCCCCTCTTCACCTCCTGACGCAGCCAGTGCCACTTGATACGCTTGTGCTTATCGAGCCCATGAAGCACAGCGTTCCTGGCCATCCCAAGAGCTCCCTTGCTATCACAAAACAGCGGCGTAGCAACCTTTTGCTCCTGGCCAATCTCCTCCAACAGCCTCCTCAGCCAAATCACCTCCTTCACCCCATGAAACATTGCCATGTACTCTGACTCCACGGAAGAGAGTGCTGTCTCCGTCTGCTTCTTTGACCTCCAACTAACCAGTCCTCCTCCAACTATGCAGATGTATCCTTCCACAGATGAGGAATCCTCCTTCTCAGAGGCCCACGTAGCATCGAGAAAGCAAGTGAGAAAGAGCTTGCCTTCTCCAAGCCTCTCCCCCTTCTCTTTCAGCACCTCAACCCCTGTCTACTCCTCTGATGGATTCTGCACTACCCTAGCTAGTTGCCCAACCGAGAAAGAGATGTCGGGCCTCGTGTGAACTGCTGCTCTTCTGATGGATTCTGCACCACCCTAGCCAGTTGCCCAACCGAGAAAGAGATGTCGGGCCTCGTGTGAACTGCTGCATACAAGAGGCTGCCCACCAAGGACTGAAATTGCTGCTGCTCCTCGGCTTCAACCCCTTCATCCTCTGCAGCTTTCACAAGCTTGAATTCGGCTGGCAGGGGAGTTGCAACCTTGCGCTCATTCTCAATTCCGTACTTCTCCCCAAGCTCCTTGATGAACTTCTCCTGGTGCAGCTTCAACCACCTGTGATCCAGATCCCTCTCCACGTGCATCCCGAGGTAGAACTTTACCTCCCCAAGGTTCTTGCACTTGAAGTTCTACATCAGCTGCTGCTGCACCTTCTGGATCTCCTTCATGCTGCTGCTAAAGAGAATAATGTCGTCCACATAGACCAGAAACAGCACCAGCTTCTCCCCCTCCCCCTTGAGAAATGTTGGTGTAAGGGCCTAATAAACTCAAGCTATTAAGACTGTACCTACAGCAGCCGCGCCGCCCGAGCCGCCGAGCCGCCCGAACTGCCGAGCCGCCCGAACTGCCGAGCCGCCCGAGCTGCCTAGTCGCCGAGCCGCCGAGCTGCTGTTGCTGCCGAGCCGCTGAGCCGCCGAGCCGTCCGAGCCGCCCTGTCCGCTACACTCGGTCCTTCTCGCCTGCCCGGTAAGAGCAGCACCTCTACTACTGCGCTGCCCTTAGCCTGCTACTCGCGCTTCTAGTCTACTGCTATCATGGCTACCCACAGTGTCCTCGCTTTTGACGCTGAGGGTCGGGCCATTGATTTTAACTTATGGGTAGATGACCCGCAGCTTTACCTCCATTGCAATAGAGCAGACGGTCTCTCCCTCTTTGACCTCACTTCTGGTGCCTCTCCTGCCCCTGCTGCTGATGCTGACGCCACTGTTCGCTCACAGTGGGCCACACGCGATGCTGCTGCACGTTTTGCTGTGCGTCGCCACTTGCCTACCTCTGAGCGTGCACACTTTAGCCAGTACAAGAGTGCTAGGACCTTGTACGACGCTGTAGTTGCACGCTACTTTTCCCCTGCCACTGCTGCACTTAGCCGCCTCATCCTGTCGTACCTCTTCCCTGACCTCGCCGCTTTTCCCATAGTCGCTGACCTCATTACGCACCTTCGCATTGTCAGTACATTATGGCTTATGCATTTGTGTGGGCTGTACTGGGGTAGCCCATATGGGGTACAACCCAATTAGGGTTAGTACTTGTACCCAACTCTTTCATAGTTCATTCATTTCTCGTTTCAGTTTTCTCATGGTATCGAGCAGGTTCCCTCGTGGGAACTGTTTCTAGGGCCTACCGATTCGATTTTTTTCCTGCCCGGAGCGCACTCAGCCCTTGCCCGAGTCGCGCTCCCCCTTTCTCCCTGTGTCGCGCCGCCCTTGACGGCCCCGTTCCCCCGCCCTAGCGGCCCCGTCGCCTACCCCGCGGCCCTCGTGCCGCCCTTCCCGACCTGGCCCCGCCCTTGCTGGCCCCGTCGCCTACCTGCGGCCCCGTCGCCTACCTGCGGCCCCGTCGCCTCCTTGCGGCCCCGGCGCTGCCCTTCTCGGCCTCGACGCCGCCCTTCGCGACCCGGCCCCGCCTCTGCTGGCCCCGTCGCCTAGCCTTGCGGCCCCGAGGCTGCCCTTCCCGGCTCCGGCGCCGCCCTTCCCGGCCCCGATCTACCGCTATGCGGCCCCGTCGCCTACCCCGTGGCCCCGGCGCCGCCCTTTCTCGGCCTCGACGCCGCCCTTCCCGACCCGGCCCAGCCTCTGCTGGCCCCATCGCCTCCCTTGCGGCCCCGGCGCCGCCCTTTCCCGGCCCCGACACCTCCCTTCCCGGCCCCGGGCCAGCCCTTGCTGGCCCCGTCACCTACCTGCGGCCCCGGCGCTGCCCTTCCCGAGCCGCCTGTGACGCCGAGCTGCCGAGCCGCAGTTGTTGCTGAGCCGCCGAGCCGCCGAGTCGCCCGAGCCGCCCTGTCCGGTAAGAGCAGCGCCTCTATCACTGCACTGCCGCTACCCTACTGTTCGCGCTGCTAGTCTACTGCAGTCATGGCTACCCCTAGTGTCCTCGCTTTTGACGCTGAGGGTCGGGCTATTGACTTTGACGTCTGGCTAGATGATCTGCAGCTTTTCCTACAGTGCAATAGGGCGGACGGTCTCTCTCTCTTTGACCTCACCTCGGGTGCCTCTCCTGCCCGTGCTGCTGATGCTGACGCCACTGTTCGCTCACAGTGGGCCACGCGCGATGCTGCTGCACGTCTTGCTGTGCGTCGCCACCTGCCTACCTCCGAGCGTGCGCACTTTAGCCAGTACAAGAGTGCTCAGACCTTGTACGACGCTGTAGTTGCACGCTACTCCTCCCCTGCCACTGCTGCACTGAGCCGCCTCATACTACCGTACCTCTTCCCTGACCTTGCTGCGTTTCCCACAGTCGCTGACCTCATTACGCACCTCCGCACTAGTGACACTCGCTACCGCGCTACGCTTCCTGCTAAGTTCTGCGCCGAGAACCCCCCCCCCCCCCCCATGTACATCACTCTCTACTACATAGTCACCCGCCTCCCTGACTCCCTTCGCGTAGTCAGGGACCACTTCCTCTCAATTTGCCCCACCACTCTCACCGTTGACCTCCTCGAGAAGGCCCTCCTAGCAGCGGAGAAGAGCATAGTCGCTGTAGGAGCCTCTCGTGGTGACCCTCGCACCCCCATCTTTGAGGGGTGTTCCCCCTCCCCCCTTTTGCCCTCTGTTGCCTCTACTGCGGCGGCCGACCTCGTTGGGCTTGAGTCGGTCGGTGCGGCGTCTCCCGCTAGGGGAGATGCCGCCCTGGCAAGGGCAAGGGGGGCAGGGGCGCTGGAGGAGCGGGCGGGGGCGGTGGAGGCGGCGGTGGAGGCGGCGGAGGGAGTGGGGGTGGCGGTGGGGGTGGTGGCGGGGGTGGAGGTGTCGGTGGCAGCTGTGGAGGCGGAGGCGGCGGCGGTGGCGGTGGGAGCGGAGGTGGTGGCGGCAGTGGCGGCGGTGGAGGAGGCGGTGGCGGAGGCGGTGGAGCTGGTCGGGGTGGCGCTGCGCAGAGGGTCGGCTCCGGTGGTGGTCAGCGCCAGCAGCAACAGCAGCAGCAGCGCACTCGTGACATCCCCCCCCCCTCAGCAGCTCTGTGAGTGGTACGCTGCACGTTGTCAGAATAATATATAATTCTATATATTGTTTTGTAACTGCCTGTAGTGTAGACTACTGTAGTCATATAACTTTCTGTTTGGTGGTGCACCTTTCTTCATTCTTGCCTATTTGTACTGCTCGCTCTATAGTGAACACCTTCTTTTGTTGCAATCTTCCTACTCACCTAAACTCACTCGAACTCAACCGTTTTCACCCAACTCGCCATGGCTCCTAAGCCTTGCTACTAGTATTTTCACATGTTATCAGAGTGGTTCCTATCCTAGGACCTGATTTTTTTTTCCATGGGCCCACCGCATATCGCTCCTGCCATGGCGCTCGTCGCGGCCCTAGCTGTGCCCGTTCAGCCGCTCGTCGTGAAGGTTGCGAAGTCGAGCGTGGCGAGCTTAGTGCTGTTCGTCGCGGCCCCAGACGGCAGCCCCGTCGCCTGCCCGTCGCGCCCTCCTGCAACCTCGTCACGCCCTGTCGCTGCCCCGATCGTCTGTATCGACGGTCGCTTTGGGGGGAGATGGCGGGTGTGGCGGCCGAGGTGCTTCAGTCGCCAAACGCGCCCCCTGCCCCGCCCTCCCGTCGAACATGCGGCTGCTACCACTGCAGCTGCCACGCAAGCGACGGCGAGCTGTACTAAGGCGCTCGTCGCGGCACCTGTTGCACCCCCCCCCTACCCGCAATCTCGCCAACGCCAACCACGCCCGCTGCCGTGTCTTCCGCTGAGGACGAAGGTGTGGGGGGGGGGGGGAGGGGGAGGCGCGAGGTTGGTTGACGCCGCTTTATTCGCTGCTGCGCCACACCGCTACGCCGCCACACGCCGTCCCTTCTCTCTCCCTGCTGCGCGTGCAGCAGTGTGGGGGGTGTTGGTGTAAGGGCCTAATAAACTCAAGCTATTAAGACTTTATCACACTTAAAACCTCTCCTCGGGGTCACCTCCAAGGGTCCTTGGGTGCCTGGTACAAGACCAGCCCCTATCCTCGGGTCCGAGTTTGTAGAGAGAGGGATCAAGAGGGACTTAGTCAAAACAGCAAGAGTACCTTGAGCGTCGCGCAGCGTATCGTGCAGACCGTCGACCGGATTAAGCTGAGAATTTGCTATATCGAAGCTCACTCTAAGAGCTTTAAAATAAGCCAAGTTGCCTCGCGAAAAGTTCTGCCATTACGAAGTTATGGCTCGGACAGCGTTAGCCTAGCGTTGGAGTGCTAGCATACTAGCGTTGACTCGGGTAGCATTCCGCCGTCGCATCGCGTAGAAAACGAAATTCCAGCAAGGAAGGAATTCGCTTGAATCAATTTCACTATATCCAGGTACAAACAGAGAAGGAATAAATAGTTCTAGCTAGCAAGGACCTTGGGAATGAACCTGAGAACAACCAGGGATCATCCCAAATAATTCCAAGCAACAGAACCAACCTGGCTGGACAAAACAGCAGGTGGTAGGTTGGTAAACAACCTCTGGTTCTGTTTTTCCAACCTGGGAAAACAACAACCAGGTTCAGGTCCTAAAAACAGAACCTGTTTTGTCTTTGCCCAACCAGCCAAATGCTGGTTCCGCTGGTTTCCCCTGGCCCTGTAGCATGCAGATACAGACAAACAACATCCAACCTTCACCTAAATTGTACCCCTATAGTGCCTGCCCTGCTACACTATAGTCAACCAAACAAAACAGTACAATTTCGAGTTGGATAGAACTGAATCTGCGCAATCAAGTAAGTTGAACCGCAAAGCTTCCATCTTGGGTTCCTTTGCGAGCTCGTCCTTTCTGCTTGAACTGTTCATAGCGCGTACAATGTTATGCCGAAGCGCACATTGTGCGAGTACCTGCAAATGCTTCAAGCGAAAATTGCGAAAGCAAACAAACACACAAACATACCATTCACACCCAAATGCATTCGCACACGCATACTCGTACAAACAGACGGCAGGATGTCGTGCAATGTGAATTTGCACCCAACACACTCCCCCTCAGCCTGCCGGCTGCATCCCCATCATTCCATACTAGTTCATGCTCATTCCACTCATGCGCACACAACGCCAATGAGACTCATCCGCAAGCCTCTTGGTGAGGAAGTCTGCTGGCTGCTGGTGAGTCTTGATGTAGATCGGATTCACCGTCCCCCTCTTCACCTCCTTACGCAGCCAGTGCCACTTGATACGCATGTGCTTATTCAGCCCATGAAGCACAGCGTTCCTGGCCATCCCAAGAGCTCCCTTGCTATCACAAAACAGCGGCGTAGCAACCTTTTGCTCCTGGCCAATCTCCTCCAACAGCCTCCTCAGCCAAATCACCTCCTTCACCCCATGGAACATCGCCATGTACTCTGATTCCACGGAAGAGAGTGCTGTCTCCGTCTGCTTCTTTGACCTCCAACTAACCGGTCCTCCCCCAACTACGCAGATGTATCCTCCCACAGATGAGGAATCCTCCTTCTCAGAGGCCCACGTAGCATCAGTAAAGCAAGTGAGAAAAAGCTTGCCTTCTCCAAGCCTCTCCCCCTTCTCTTTCAGCACCTCAACCCCTTTCTGCTTCACCTGTGCAGATGCGGAGTATTGAACTCCAATGCTTGGGTGAGAGTTCAGATACTTCACCACACGCTCAGCTGCATCCACCTGCTCCTCTGATGGATTCTGCACTACCCTAGCCAGCTGCCCAACCGAGAAAGAGATGTCGGGTCTCGTGTGAACTGCTGCATACAAGAGGCTGCCCACCAAGGACTGAAATTGCTGCTGCTCCTCGGCTTCAACCCCTTCATCCTCTGCAGCTTTCACAAGCTTGAATTCTGCTGGCAGGGGAGTTGCAACCTTGCGCTCATTCTCAATTCCGTACTTCTCCCCAAGCTCCTTGATGAACTTCTCCTGGTGCAGCTTCAACCACCTGTGATCCAGATCCCTCTCCACGTGCATCCCGAGGTAGTACTTTACCTCCCCAAGGTTCTTGCACTTGAAGTTCTCCATCAGCTGCTGCTGCACCTTCTGGATCTCCTTCATGCTGCTGCTAAAGAGAAGAATGTCGTCCACATAGACCAGAAACAGCACCAGCTTCTCCCCCTCCCCCTTGAGAAAGAGGCTCTCATCACAGCTGCTGGTCCTGAATCCCATCTCCTCTAAAACAGCTGCCAACTTCTGGTACCAGCAGCGTGGCGCCTGCTTCAAGCCATAGATGGACTTTTTCAGCTTGCACACCCTGCCCGTACCATCCTCATACCCAGGTGGCTGCGTCATGAACACCTCCTCCTCTAAAATCCCGTTGAGAAATGCCGTTGATATGTCCATCTGGATAATGAACTTCCCACTAACGGCTGCATCTGCCAACAAGACACGAAGGGTAGGGGGTTTGGCAGTGGGAGCAAAGATCTCATTGAAGTCCCGCTTCTCCTTCTGCATAAACCCCTTAGCCACCAACCTACTCTTGTAGATGGTGACCTGCCCCTTGTCGTCAGTCTTGATCCTTAGCACCCACTTGCATTGTACCGCTTTCTTTCCTTCAGGAAGCACCACTAGTTCCCAAGTCCCATTCTCCAGCAGGCTCTGGTACTCAGCATCCCTGGAAGCTAGCCATTTGTCCCTATCTGGTCCAGCTAATGCCTCCTCCATGCTAGCTGGTTCCTCTGGTGCAGGGGCAAGAAAACAGTACGCAGGTTGATCCTCCTCATCCGGGTCATAGCCATGCGGTAGAATCAGCAATGCCTCCTCGGTCCCAAGCTGCTGCTCCGCTACATCAGCTCTTGCAGTCAGCTTCTTAGTAGCCATACGGGTACGTCCTGGCCTGGAGACGGGTGTCTCCCATCCCTTCATAACGACACCCTTCGGCTTCTTAGTTTTCCCCTGCTGCTGCTCTCCTCCCTCGGATCCAGCAGCTCCACTAGTGCTACCGCTAATCTCCACACCATCACCTCCACCAGCAGGTGCCTCCTGCACCTTCTCTTTATCACCACCCTCTGCAGCTGCCTCCTCTCCCTCCTCCCACACACTAGGAGTCAGGTCCAGCTGCATGGTAATCTGCTCCATCTGCTGGGACACCCTGGCCTCCGGCTGTTTCTCCCAGCTCCCATACATCATGCCCTCAACAAACTTCACATCCCTGCTGTCAAACAACACACCCTTGGAAGGCTCCCACAGCAGCCATCCCTTGCTCTCAGCAGCCAGCCCCAAATGCACACACCAGATTGCACTCGCCCCCAACTTACTGCGGTAGGTCTTGGGAACGTGGGCGACTGCCATGCAACCGAACACCCTCAGCATGTCCACCGGCGGCTTCCTCCCAAGCCACCTCTCCAACGGCACCCACGAGTCATCCCCAACCTTTGTGAGTACCCTGTTCCTAGCGACGGTAGCGTGCCAAACAGCATGGGGCCACATCAAGTTGCCCAGCCCAGATTCTATGAGCAGCGCCCTAGCTGTCTCCAGAATTGTCCGGTTCGCCCGTTCTGCTACACCGTTGGACTGTGGGGTGTAAGCCGTGGTCAGCTCCCTCTGGATGCCCTGCTTCTTGAGCCAGGCCGTCATCTCAGCTCCAAGGAACTCACCACCCCGATCTGTCCTAATCCGCTTCACCACACACTCCGCTTGCTTCTCCACGAACGGCAGCCAATCGTCCCGAATCGTGGAGGCGGCGTGATCTTTCTGCTTCAGCGGATACGCCCACATTAGCCTGCTCCAGTCATCCACTATGGTTAGGAAGTACCGCTCCCCCTTGTGCCCTTGCACCGGCAGCGGCCCCACCAAGTCCATGTGGACCAGCTCCAACGGCTTTTTGCTCCTGCCAGCCACACTATGGAAGGGGAAACGGGTGAACTTTGAAAGGAGGCAAATTTCACAGTTATCATTGGGTGGTTGTCCGTTCAGCTTTAAGCCCTTAACGGCTCCATCCTTCTCCAGCTGCTTCAGCAAAGGCATTGCCACATGCCCCAAACGTCGGTGTGCAGTTGCCCAATCTGTCTCCCCAGATCTGGCCGACACTTTCACACCAACCCCTCCAACGGCGTTGCACTCCCCCTGGGATGCAGACCCCTCTCCAGCCTGCCCCCC